GAAAGAGCACAAGGAGGAAGGAGCAGCAGAGACAACATGCTGACCACAACCCTCATTCCCCATCCCCCTGTGCCACTGAGGGCGGGGACATAGAGAAATTAGAAGTGAAGTTGAGCCCAGGAAGAAGGGAGGGGTGGAGGGAAGGTGTTTTAGGATTTGGTTTTATTTCTCATTGTCGTACTCTGATTTGATTGGTAATAAATTAAATTAATTTCCCCAAGTCAAGTCTGTTTTGTGTGTGACAGTAACTGCTGAATGATCTCTCCCTGTCCTGAACTTGACCCACGAGCCTTTCATTACATTTTCTCTCCAACTGAGAGAAAGGGGAGTGGTGATAGAGCAGCTTGGTGGGCACCTGGCATCCAGCCAGGGTCAACCCACCACAAGAGGTAAGCATACAGCAAGCATGGGGGCATAAAGAAGAGTAAAAAGCAAAGATTTCTAAACCTGAAAGTATATCTGAAAGTTAATAGTCCACAACACAATAGTTCCAGCACAGATTCAAGTGCAAGCTTAGACACACAGCAAGCAACTTTGCTCAAGAAGCTTTTTCACCTCTGCAATGCAAGTAGGCAGGCATATTCCCCATCCTCTGCGGGGGTTTATAAAAGCAGCAACCACTCTCTTCAGATTTCAATTAAAGATGAAGTGTTTACACTTGTTGTTTTCCTTGCCAGGAGTCCTTTTTTTCCTCTTCACAAGCTCTTCTAAAAAGCACTTATTTTATTTTTCTTTTACATATATTATAAACTTTCTTAGCTGGTGAGAAGGAGAAACTTCTAGGGTGAAGAAGAAACTTCATTCCTTCCCCAATTGGAGGGAACTTCTGCTTACCACAGCTTTAATTCCCTATGCTATCTGCTGCCTAAATCCATAAAGCCTTTTCTCTCACCTCCACCCGCTTAATTTGCATTTTCCCTTCTTCCCCTAGGCAGTGTAAGTGAGAGAGTGAATATTTTTTTCTTTTTTTTTTTTTTCTCTTAAGCAGAGCTATGTTATTAACACCTATTTCACTGCTCAGCTGGACCTCCTAATAGACTATTTACTGCTTAGAGCCAGGCTAATCAGGAGAGGAGTCAGGATGTCCAGCAGAGAATCAACACAAGAATGAAAAATAGACTCAAACGTGAGGCTGAAGGTAGGTACTACGGTTAGGAAAGCAGACACACCAAGCTTGATACTATTCATTTACAATTTTGTCATAGAAAAGGATTTCTTTTTTTTTTTTAAACTCAAAGAAGTTTGGCTGGTTTGTAACCACAGTTAGTTTTTTAACATAATACATCAATATAGTATAGCCTTAAATTTTAAATGTGCTGGTTTGCAATGCTACATTTGTTCTGTCTAACATGCTTTAGCTGCAGCTAAAGCATTTGAGTTTCTTGTCTGTAGTCTCAACCGCAGCACAGACACATTTCACCTTAAGCAGATGAACACCCTTACTCTGGGAACAAGCAAGCTCAAAAGTCAGAGCCTAAGGAAAAAGCACCCAGAGAGGGTGTGCGAGGGGAACAGAGAGCGAGCCAAACCAGCAGCAAAAACACATCAGGCAGAGGAAAAGGAAATGCATGCAGCCACCAGGACGAGGACAAAGCACATGAGAGCTGGAGTGTAATCAACCAGAGACAGATGATACATACCTAGTATTTCCAATCATTCTATAAAATGCACACACTTTTATTTGTTCCAAAGAACAACAGGTCTCACATTGTGACAGTAATGTATAAGACAACAAGGCAGGAATAGGACAGCATAGCAGGAATAAGAATTGGTTGTGAAAGACCATGAAAGCAGACCCATAGTAACAGTATGCTCTTGTAGTTTCTTAAGATCTATGACAAATAGATCCTCTAAAGCTTTTTGTAGCGATTCACTTAGTACCTTTGAGATCTGTGCAAAGGGGCATGAACTGCTGTGATTTTTCTGGCACACAAGCACTAGAAAGTCCTTGTTTTGTGGGAAATGCATCTCATCCAAAATGAGGTTGCTTAGATTTTCTTCTAAATTGTGTAATCTTAAAGTTCAGCTAGACCTGTACCTTTTCCAACATCTTTCCTGTGTTCTCAAAAAAGAACTCCTAACCCCACTGTGAATATTTCAGCTATTTCTCTATATTCCATGGGTTAGTTTTATTAGGCCCTGATACTTTGAAAATATTAGGTTTAAGTGTGATATAGCTTTCTCTTTTTTTTTTTTTTTTTTATTCTAGACAGTTATTAGCTATATACTTCTGGTGCTAATTGTCTTACTATGTGATCTCAGTTAAGTTTTTTAATGAAGAAATACACAAAATGTTATTAGTTAGTCCTTTCCTCGGGCATTGTCTACTGTTAGTTTTCCCTATGGCTCAGATAATATACTCCCCAAATACAATAATTTTCACTCCCAGGCAATAATAACAGTTCTAATTTTCGTAGTGTATAGTATTTAGAAACAGTTTGGAATTCAAAGAGAGTTTGAGTGACTATAAAATGTACTACCTAGTCGAGGCAGTGACTACATAAATAAATCAGATTATGTTCTCTTGTACCTACAAGCAAAAAGTGGCAAAAGAAAATTTATTATAATTTTTCCTCCATTTCTTCATCTGTGGGTAAAGGCATATGGAGCTCAGTGTGATATACTACTTATACAGCTTCAGAGCAATGAAGAAGCCTTAAGTTTACCATGTGTTTGTTGCTCTTTTGCTTTGCCAGCTGCTAATCTTGACAGCTAATCATCATCCTAGCTCTAGTTTGGCTGCTGTCTCCAGTGTGCCTCCATAGCAGCTAAGGCATCTCACCACGCAGAAGAGGTGGAGAGCAACTCTGGAGATTTGTATATCAACTCTGCCTTTTCTTCGGTAGGAGCCAGCAAAATATTTCTCCTGCTTGAAACATAAGTCAAGGGTAGCCATTTGGCTACAGGTGAAGCGTTAAATGAAGGAGGAACAACAAAATTCATGAAAATGAGAAAAAATAAACACTGTAAACCCCACTATTTCCTAGGCATTTCCTTCACTAGGAAATTGCCATCTAACCTATTTTAAAGTGATGGTGAAACCAAAGAGCCAGTAACATACATTTTCTTATGAAGAAAGGACAGTGATGTTTTTACCCTTCTCTTGCTAGTTGTTGTGGGCAAGCCACAGCTAGCCAGAAATAATGCTTTCACAAGCAACTCTCAATTGTGAATGCATCAGTTTTCGGTTGTACTGTGTCAGGCTTCTCATATTTCATTCTAAACCTTCCCCCCAAACCAGACATTTCTATGTACTGCAGCCAGTTGATCTCCTAAATCACTGCAATTTATTGAAAGAACTGCTGTATCCTGTAGAGAGGGAATTCTGCTGGACTACATGGTTTTATAGGAAGGGTCATTCCTTCCCCATCCTAAGGGACATAACAGTCTTCTACCTTCTCTCCCTCACTCACGAGCTTTCCTTACACCTCTAGGAGCACTGAAGGCAGCAGAAGATTTTTTGCTGGTATTCTACGTAGTAACTGACAGAACAGTAACTGACACACTAAAAGAAGTCTTTTATACCATTAGCAGACATAGAAAGGAACAATGGATTCAGGTATTACTTTGCTGTGCTTGGACTACAGAATACAGAGAAAAATTTTGAATTTTCATTAGTTTCTGTCTTTCTAATTTGAGCATGTCACCATGGCCATTTCCTTCTGGAAAGAAAAAGCCCTTTTATAAATAATAAATTCATTATTTATTTAGTGTTAACTAGATACACTAGTCAAGAGTTAAGCCACAGACAGCACATGGTCTTTCTTCTTTCTGCACATTAATCATTGTGCAATCTCAAATTTGTGTTAGAAATATCAGTATTAGAAATATCAGTGAGGTATCTGGAAGTAGAGCAAAAGGGGGAAGAAAGAAATAAAAGACAACAATCTTAGCTTATCTTGCAAAACAGAACAGGATAAATTGCCACGTAGAAATTATTATATTGAGTTATTTGGTATCTAATGGAAGTACAGCATAAATGACCACACCTAACTAATTTGAACTAATTTCAGCTGAATCTGTCTCCTCACCACACTGTGCTTTTCTTTCTCTCTCTCACATGGTGGGATTTTTTTCCTCAACACCTTTCAGGGTCAAGCTTATTTGTAGGTCAAATCAAGCACATCACAGCCTGGCTATCATGAGAGCTACGGTGAAAATGACAATCAGATCAAACCACAACAGAGGCTTTGGGCAACATGTTTGCAAATGCTGTCAAAAGTCTGTCGGTTTGGTTGCAGCTATTGCATCTAATTCAGTTCCTCTGGCAGCCAGTCTGATCTGATCTTTCAATGTCTGCTACAGAATAAACATACTAATGAAATGGGACGGTCTTAGAACTGGTTGCATGCCTACAGGGAATTACAGAGAGGGCCAACTATACTGGGAGCAGCACAGGAATGAGACTGTCGATGAAGGTAGTTTTGGTATCGCAAAAACTGAAGCACCAAAGATAGCAGGAAATAATTTGTGGGAATAATATATGGCAGAAGACAAAGTTGTCCACGACTCAGTGGAAAAAACACAATTCACAAAGAATCCAAGAAAACTAAATATGCTGCTGAGAATGTTATATGCATGAGTTGCTATTAACCGCTGTATTATGAAAAAGAGTGTCCACGTATCAGCACGTGGCACACAAGACATACTTTTTGGTTTTTTCCTTGCTCACCCACCTTTTCTTCCTCAAAAAACCCCACGTGTATTCATGAATGTTTTGCAAAAGAAAAGCAGACAAGCATCACAATATACATTTTTTCTAATGATCAAATTCAAAAGCCTTTCAATATCCTGAAATTAAATATTCACAATAAAAAACATTACCATTGATTAAACTGGAAAGATAAATGGAATAAATAACATCCATTAAAGGTCCGTGTTATACTATGGAAAACCATTCAGCACACAAATCCAGTACTTATGCATAAAAATCTAATTGACACAATAGACTATAACCATTGCAAAGCACCTATTATAGCCCATCATGTAAATGGTTACACATAATGACACAGCCATTATGGTCTGTAGGGCTCTGGATCACTGAATTGAAACTTGTCTAGGTAGAACAGACTTCGAGCAAATAGACTTAAAGGAGCTGTCACAATAAACTAAGTCAGGACCTATCTTAGTAAATCCCAATTATACATTAACCTATTAACACACGTCAAATTGCTAAACTTTGGGAAAATTTAGTTACCTACAGTACGGAAGCCAGCATTCTTGAATACGTACCATACAGATATCACTGTCCTTTACAGTTTCAAGTAAGAGAATAAGCTGTTTCAGATACCAGTTGCAGATAAATCTTACAGGGTAGATTTCCTTTTTTAGAATCATACAATCACAAGATCATTTTAGCTGGAAAACACCTTTAAGATCATTGAGTCCAACTGCTTACATATAAGCACTATAGTAAGCATGCAATATTGAGAAGCTCATGAATTTACCCAAATTAAATTTTTATTTGAAATTATCTTATCTATAAATAGGTAAACAATTCTACATAAATCTTGGAATAAATCAACTAAATGAAAGAAAAAGGTGTCTGATACAAAGCAACTAAAGAATAATGGAAATAATGTCTGATATTGCATTTATAGGAGAGTGACCAGCTTAAAGAAGGGCAATAAACACACTTGGATTCAGTGGGAAAAGAGGCAGATCCACAGCAAGCGAGCAATAGCACTGAACCTACGATCCTAGTTCTTTTCTTCAGACCTTGGGGGAACAAATGCCATACATTGTTCAAGAGCATAAACAGTGGCAAACGAGGGCTTAAAATAACTTGGACAGTTACAAGGATATGCTTCAAGATGCATCTCAAGTGTAAGGTTCTTTCATGTGTGCTCGGTATGCTTAAAGTATTAGAGGCCTGATGAGAAACCTCTCACTATTGCTGGTTAGGATCTGATTCAGGTAGTTTGCTTACAGCATCCAGCTGAGCCAACAAAATGCCTATGAAGTGTGTGGTACTAACGAGATAGTGGCTTTAGGTATCTAATCCAAGTGTATAAACTCCCAACGCAATTAATGAGGAGTGAGGTAAATGCTTTCAAGGAATTCAGGTACAATTAAAGTTACCATAATGTGTAGATGATGTAACCACTATATCAGGTTCCTGTGCATAAAAATCTGCCTATTTCCATATTTGAATATCTCACTGTGACATGACTTTCCAATTAGAATGAAGTGCATCGCCACAGCACAGAGCCTGACCCGACAGTCAGATCTTGTGCCTTTTTGGAGCTCAGTTGCTGTAGTGTGCAGAGAAATCAAAGGATCAATGAACTTTCCTCCAAGCATCTGAAAAAGGGATGGATGAAAATGGGCATCCTGTTAGATCTGGCCACGCTGCTCAAACTGCTGTTACCTGACTTGCCCCAGCAGAAAGGAAAAATGCTGCTTGTGTTGGTGCTTTTTGTTTACCAGTGAGCAAAACTGCAGCTGTTTCCCATGTCTGTACAAAGACAACCGACTTTGCCCATCCTGCAACTGCTCATGTGCAGAGCACACCGACTGCTGGTGGTGCTGCTGCTCTTGTTCAAATGACCCAGACTGCAAATGCTGCTGCTGCGGTGGAGAGAATTCAGCATGTCAGTATTATGAAAGCAAGTGTTGCAGAAGCTCTGCCAATGAACCACATCACTCAAGAACACCAGGAACTGTTCAGTAAGTGGAATTAAGGGCTTTTAAAATTTCTTGGAGTTTGGTTTTTCTAATTTACATTATGTCTTAACGGATGTGTTATGCTTAAAAACATATGATCTGTTAGCAAGTTGGAGCTATTTCAAATAATCACAGGATATTTTTTGTCTGAGAAACAGAAAAAATAGTTTTATCTGGGTAATAGTGAAATCTTATGCTCGTTACTCTGACTGAGGCAAAGACCACTCCAGAATACCACTGTACTTTAATTAGGACCACTTGATTTCCAGACAAAATCCATGAACGGCTAATATATGCTCATACATTCTCACAGGGTAAAAACCTATGTAGTGACAAGAAAGAACATACAGAGAACTTTAAAACAAGGAGGAAAACAGGAATGTGTTTGTAGCAAGGCAGCTGCAGGCAAGGCTACATGGAAAACTGGAGTAAAACAAAGCAGTAAAACTGCAGTTAAATGGAAGTGGAAGGAAGCAGTTACAATCAGAATAAGACAAAAAGGAGATAAATAATTATAAAGGCTCAAGAAATGTCGCAGAGAGAACGGAAGGAAGGCATAGTAACAGTCTTAGAAGATAAAACTGGAAACCAGAAGGGAAGGGGCTGATTATTAATTACAGAAATGCTACACCATAGAGCACTCAAAAAAGATACAGAGGGGAGGAGGGAGGCAGAAACGAAGTTATCAGAAGTCTTAGACTAGAATAGTACCAGTCCAAGAGGAATTGGCAGGACCTCTGGACATGCACAGTTAATTCCTACCTAGGTAAACTTTGAAGACCAGAAGGAATCATAACAGCAACAGAACATTCTATTCTCTTTAGTTTATTAGGGTTTTTTTTTACCGTTGTTTAGAGTGACAGAAAAGCAGGTAACATGGTTGAACATTTGGGGAGAGGTGGGAAGGAAAGCAATAACAACACGGATGCTGAAGAGAAGCACAGCAGAGGGCCAGACCATAGAGGCCTAGAATCAGGTGTCCATCTTGAATAATGATGCTCATGTCAAGGTTATGGAAAATACTTCAGGAGGCATTATAAAATTAATATTGCATTTTAAAAGGATAAGGTCCTCAGGCTAAGAGGTAGGTTAGGACTATCAAGATTTGAAGAGAACAGGGATTAGCACATCCTGAAAAATCAGTCCTCTTTGACAATAAAATAATAATAATTAAAATGATCCCCATTTGAAAGTCTTTGCAATTAATATAAAGAATTAGTAATAATAAGGCTGCTACTAACACTAAGAATAAACTAACTTAATTCTAGAAACAAGAAATAATTGAGGTGAGTGATTTCTTAAATGACTAAAAACTAGAATGATCATATGTAAACATGAGTTATTACGTTAAGCAGAAATGTCTTCAATTTTTTTTTTGAGATGGTGAAACTGTTGTGCTACTTTCTTGAGGAAATATTTCATCTTGAAAACACAAAAGAAAAATATTTTGACATTTATTGTCTTAAGCTTTCATTAAAAAGAAAATATTCTAAAAATATTGCCAAAATTCTTGTAAAAGAAAGCATACTCTCTGAAATAAAAAAAGGGTTTCATTTGAATTGCACAAACGCTTTTCTCCACTCCAGTTACAGTTTCTATTTTGAAAAATAAAGAAGAAAAGAAGACAAATCACATTTCATTTTATACTAAACCAAACACCAAACTGTATTCTTTTTGTTTGGCCACCAGTAATAATTCAACAAATTCATACAGACTACAATGACTGATATAAGCTGTGTTTCTGCAGTCTGCAGAGTGCTTAGGGAAAGTAACAAAAAAATGCAGTTCCTTCCATTTTCCAACCTAGTCCACGTCTAAGAAACAATACCCTAAGAAAACTTAAATTTTGATGAAATTTTCTCCATTTTACAGGGACTTGTCCCATTGCTTATCAGAATAAGGCAGTCAGAAAGTAAAGCAGAAAAATATCCCTATTCTTTTAGCTGAGAGATAATTGTTCCAAGGCATGTTTCAAGTACTCATGAATCCAAGCAAGCAACATTGTTCCAAAGCACATCTTTAAATTCCTTGTTTGATTTAGGTGATCTGTCTAAAGACACTGTCAGAAGACCAAGCTCTACACCTCCCTGTTATCCTACACAGGGTAATGAAGTGTGTACATACTGGGATACAGCTTGTGAAACTCCAAGAAAAGAAAGAAAATATCAGATTAACTTTTCAAGTCCAGAACCTATAGACAATGAATCAGTGCCAGTGCCAGGATCCGTTGTTATATACCAATACCAGACTGCTGTTTACCCAAGGACTGTCAAAGTAAGACATTGATAAATTCTAAATATACACAAGTGACCATTATATTTTCAGGCTGTTATAGTGTCTGAACCTGTATGAGTTTGAGTAAATAAGACTACAATATCAGTTCAAATACTTAATTTATAGGAGACAACACATTTCAAACATGCCTTTTGAGATAAACTGAAGAATAAACTGATTCGTATCACATTCCTACTGTAGTCAATAGGGTTGTTATTTTATACATGATATAAATATGTTACTTGGAAAGGTCCAATGCAGAAAGAAATAGATGTACCATGTTTGTATTTGAATATCTGTACGTTAGATCAAATAATTTGATCCTGGTCTTGGCCTTTAATGTGACAACATCATATCCATGTAATTTTCCTGACTACACATTTCATAGATGCTAACGAGATCAGGATGCCAGTTGCATAATATCCCAAGCGCATGTTGCAAAGTGCCGACTGCTGTCAGCCTGCATTACTTTCAGTGTGTTAGAACAGGGTACTATGAAATTCCCAAAAGGAAGCTTAGCATTTTCCAAGTAAGACCACAAATTGCATATCTTCTGCATAGATTTCACACTATGGTTGGAATTCCAGCTGCATTGGCATTTCAAAATTTAAATCTGCCAAACAGGAGCCTTCCAAAAAAAAGCAAAAATGAAAATGAACAAAAATAAAGAGTACTTAATTGCGTACTACAGATTTTTCTGTCTTCACAGATTTACTGGGCTTTTCCCACAGAAGACATGGGGGTTTTTTGAGGTAGAGTTTTATGAAGTTGCTCATATTGGTCCTGATAAAGTTGTCCAGTCACAACTAGCTGGCCAGCTAAGCCAGCTTTCCAGCCCTTTTGTCCCTTGTCACATTTAGAGAGTGAAAGTCTTAAGTTTGGAACAGCATTCAGACATCCCACTCACCTCACAAGTGTTAATGACAAACGACACCTTCCTGAACTGCTCCACTTCCTATACTTAAAACACTGAGCTAAGTAGTTTCTTTTTTTTTTTTTTTGATCTAACACATTCGAACGCTATATTGATTTTTCTTCTGAAAATTGTTCTTTCTGCACGCAGCACAGCCATTTTAATATTCCAGAGAAACATAAACTCACTTAACATCCGCTGTAATTTACAGAAGAGTTTCATAGCAAATGAAAGTGAGACAGCATATATGACAGACTTTTCTAAATCTTTTAAAAAATAACTACCTCTGTTCCTTTGGCATAATATCAGACTATTTTACTTTACCAGTTACACTATACAGAAAGCTTGGAAGGACCTTTGTTTAACAGAAAATATGGCATTGGATTTTAAGTAGGGGATTTAGTCAGAGCAATATCATTCTTCATGTGTAACAGCTATTAAGTCTATGAGTGAATGTAACTGTGATGGCTGTGACAGGTCACAGAAGCCCAGGCACCAAACTACGAAGAAGAGGAAGGTGACAGAAAGTTTTGTTAGACAGCAGCTACTATTTCGTTCTTTGAACCAAAGCTGATGCCGTGCCACTCATACCCCAAAATATCAAGTCCCACAAAAAAAGTTATTCAACCATAGAGTGTTATTTAACATTACAAGCAGATTTCCCATGTCGGTATGAAGCTCTTATAAGCAAAACAGAAAACTGTAGTCTCTGGGCTTTTAGGAGTGAGGGAACCTCTCTCTTCTTAGCCCAATAGCATGACTGTTGCCTTACAGCTGAATCACAGATCCTCAATTTCAGCCATTTGTCAGTGTGTGAAACACCATGAAAGTACTGAAGGTATCCAACATATCTGCACAGGGCTGACAGATGACACAAGACTTGGAAGATGCACTTCTAGAGCGGCAACTAGGAAGAAAGCAGCTTACCCTTGAACATCTAAACTGGCAAAAGATGTTCATGATTTTGGCAACTGGATCCTAATTTAAAAGTCAATTGAAGGCATTACACAGCACTACCCTGGCTAAGGGAATGAACAATACAGGGGATATTTTTGAGTATGTGTTGAGGTTGCGGAAGATCCTGGATGAATGACAGAAACTGGAGGCTGCCTTGTCAACCAAACTGATGCATTAAACAGCCCTGGTAAACCATGCAAAACTGTACCACAAGGCAAGTGACAAGGAATCCTCTAAGGATGAAATTCGGTGTTCCCTGGAGATTTTGAACAAAGTAGGCAAACATTTGTTGCCCCAGAGATAAAGGATTTGACTGTGTTTGCCACAAGAGGAGGGAAGAGAAGCACTAAGGATGCAGCACAATCCTTGCTCTAGTTGCTGCCAGAACTACCACTCTTAGAAGAGGAGCTCCCCCACCCCTTCTTCTCAACGACAGCAGCAGCCTGCAGCTGTTCACAGGGGGCTACCACAAATGCCACCGGACTTTGTATTCCATAACCTGTCTCTTGAAACTGCTAACCACCGGAGGAGTGACAATTCTAATGATGGGTTTGCTGCTTTTTAACTTTTCATCATACTCATCAATAAAATCTTTGGAAGGAGATTTTTCAAAATTGCCTTGGAAGGCAAAGGCAAAATGACTTTTAATAGGGCTTGTGGGCTTCTAAATCCTGTGGTCATATCTGAAACTCTTTCACTAAATGACCAGCTGTCAAAACCTAATGGCTATATATTGTATTAATCACTGTAACGTTTGCTACCAGACAATTGATTGCCTTCAACATAAGGGGTTTTTTAAAGAGCTCAATTTCCATTTTGCCTCCAAAATATATACTTAGACTTTCCAAAGTTTATCATAAATAAGACAGTTTGACTGCTTTGAAAATACATCTGCAAGTGTTAAGCTCTTTTGAAAACAGACACTAATTAAATCCTATCCCCAAAATAATAAATACATGTACCTCTTCCAAACTCTAATATGTTCTTTTTTTCTATTTGCAGATAATCACTTCGGATGCATATGGGAAAATCGAGGACAGGTGTGGGAAGCAGAAGAGTATTCAGGGTGCTCTGCATACACCAAATACATAGACAAAGAATGAAACCAGAAATTCTTTTTTTTTTTCTTGAAGAAGTGGAAAATGTGTATGCTTTCTTATGCAATATCCCATTTTCCACTGAAGTTGGCAGCCAGAGATCTAACAGTGAGCTCTTCAGATTATTATAGATTTCTGGCAAAAAATAATAATAAACCCCCCCTGCCTTTTCATTAGCTTTTCTTTTTTTTTGCCAGTGTAACACCAAGGCCTAAGGAAAATGCTGTGCCATGCATGAAAATATAGTATAAAACCCATTACACTTGAGGGACCTTTGCAGCTTCAAAGGAAATAAATTACGTATTTGCATTGTAAATTAACATTCCAATTACGATTCTCTATGACACCATTCAACACCAGTTCATAAAGAGCTGCAGGAGCCTATATCACACTTCGCATATTTTTCAAGCGCCAAATAAGTTACTCTGTACATATACACTCTCGGTCTCAGCCTCACTCAGCTGAAGTACAATGCATACTCACATAGAAGGAGACTGGCAAAAGGCAGGACAAGAAGCACAAGAATGAGAGCAGACAAAATTTTGTCTCCTTATGCACTTACTTAATAATGGTCAGGTTTACTTGACTGTTGTGAAGGTCACCTATGTGAGTTGCAGAGTATCAATTTGTTAGAAGTAGCTGCAAGTAAAATCAAGAGATCCACTGAACAGGAGTTACTAGATCCACATCAAGTCACTGTGTTGAGATAATCAAGAGTAATAACTAATGTCCTTCTCTGTGCAGGGATGATCTTGCACGGTTCCTTTCTTTCATTTCAGTCATACCAATCAGGTATGCGTATCTAGCAATCTAGCTATATTTTTCCACAGACATACATATATATACTCATACACATCTCTCTCCATATATGCTTGCATATATACACACACACATATACATATATGTATTTAAACACATTTACAAGTCCCTTTGCCCCAGTCCTATCAAGTTGGTCGTTTACAAGAGAATGAAAATAGGATCAGGGCCACTACTAGTTTTTTTTTAAACCCCTTCTGTGCATTTGTATGTTTGCGTCTTACCTTCTGCATAGAACAAATCCATTTATGGAAAATCATGTCTTATGAACACTGCCCATGAATCTTGGCCCTCCTGCTACCTTCCTTAAGGCAAACAATAAAACTTAGATATATTTATTATTAATATACCATTTTTCCATTGCACTTTTCATTTCTGAAGCCCTGGTTCAGCTTGCTGCATCGTTGCTGCAAGGTAGCAATATTCCACCCACTTTCTGCATTGCTAATATGATAAAAGAAGAGTCTGGACAAAAAGGCAAGAAAGCCAAAACCTGAACTCCGAGAGCCCTTAGTTCTCTATCTTGTGCTAGCCCGTGAGCTATTAGTGATGCTTCAGTTAATATATGTGTTCTTGCCAGGATCTCTGCACAGTCTTTCCTTGACAGAATACTATGAAGTCTCTAGATAGGAGCAAAGGCTATTAAAAGAGGTTTGCATTTTCAAACCTATTGAATAATTATAGCAGTGTCTGATTTTGAGAAGTTTATTCTAGAACATTTAAAAGGGACCTGACCATCACACATGTAAAGCACTTGCAATCTAAAACTTTTGCTAGATTTTTGCAGAAACCTAAATGTCTGAGCTCTCCAGACAATAAAGCCCAATTATTCCTTTAATACCCATGGCTTTTTAAACCCCTTCTCTAGACAGCAACATTTTATGCCCATTTCAAGGACATGTGAGTTTTTGCTGATGGTCTATAGTTCCCCAGAAGCTCACCCATCTGGTATTCCTTTTAGTATATTCCTCTGTGGATGGATAAGACTGCAATGTGGATCAACTGTATAAAATCCCTTTGCACCCCCTGGCTGCCCTTTGGTAATAGCAGCCTTCTGTACCCAGCAGTTCTTAAGAGACGCAATTTGCAGTACACAGTTCTGTGCAACAGCCAAGCAAAGCTCCAATTCCCATTTCATGTAAACAGTGAATCAGATCACTTGAATAGGGCAACATTTTATCAATATCACTAAGAGATCAGAATCAGTCCAACCCTGCAAGCTTTAAGATTTTTATTAATTATTGTGGGGCTGCTGGAAGCCTATGTTTCTTTTCAAACAAATTACCTTTCAAACATCTCTATCTCGGCTTGCTTTGCTTTTTTCTCCAGGGTTGCCTCTTTCTTTTCATGGGAGAAAAAAAAAAAGTGTTAAGTTCTTTACATACAGTTCAGTGCCTGCCTATTGTAAGCACAGCCAAATCCCATGGTGACTGGATGTCTACAGCCCAATTTACTGCAATCCTCCTTTCAATAAGCAAGCAAGGCAAAGAATGGAACAATTTTGCTTATCTACTGCTTGCTGCTCAGTTGCAGCAATGGGTGGGGAGGCAGCACCATCTCTCACCCTGTGCAGACATTTTTCATCTGCATGCTCTGAAATTGAAATTTTGAGATGTTTATAAATAAATAAAAACCTGCCTGTATTTAATGCGGTGTAATATTTGCATAATTACTTTTCAAGGTAATGAGTTTAACAGAAGCCAAAACACAGAAGGTTGAATATCTTTAGAGCAGCCTGTGCCAGCAAATAAACACAGAACTCTTGTAAGTATCGAATTGCAGAGCAGTTTAGAACCAGTGTAATTTATTTATGGAACAATAAGCATCTATTTGTGCTGGGCAAGTGACCAAGGTGAATAAATGAAAGACATATATGTAATTGACTATTAGATGAGCCACCATTTCATTTCACTACCATTTGTCTCTTGGAATATCCATAACAAACCCTGGTGAACAAAACATTAGAAAATAAAGGGGGCTGTCAAACTACCTCCTCCAAAGCCAAGCAAACAGCTAGGCTGAAGCAATAATGACAATTTGAAAGAAAATAGTCTGAGATGGTGGCTCCCTGCTTTGT